ACCCTTTTTTTTTTTTTTTTTTGGTTTCAGAAACAAGTTTCATTGATATAGAAATTCAGAGATAATACATAAGTGAACTAAAAAAAATGAGCTCAAAGAAATGCAACACAAAAGGAATAAAGCCACTATTGCCGTAAAACTTATTAGGGCATCCCTAATCATAATCTCTAAATGAGGCTATAAAAATGATGGATAGAGCCTTATTTAAAGTTCCGATAAAATAGACTCTAAAGGCAATATGGCGGTCCTACGCCAAGGGCAAGGTAGGCAATTGCCTACCCAAAAGTTTTCCCAAGTAACGTAGGTTCTAGGCACTAGGTAGGCAAGGTAGGCACGAGAGCTTCAGCTCCCAAAAAGCTTCTCAGGTGCCCACATGATACAAATTCAACATGCTTTCACAATTTTCCATGTCATAAAATAGCAATACCTATCCAATATGAAATGATTATTCATATTCAAGTTAATTTGGTTTCTTTACTGCAGTCCTAATTCCCCAAAAATGTAAGATCCCACATCGACTAACGGAGAGGGGGTTGATGTGCCTTATATGTACATGCCCGCATCCATCTAGCACGAGACCTTTTGGGAGCTCACTGACTTCGGAGTTGTAGGAACTCCGAAGTTAAGCGAGTTGGGGGCCAGAGCAATCCCAGGATGGGTGACCCACTAGGAAGTTGGTAGTGAGCTCCCAGAAACAAAACCATGAGGGCCAGAGAGGGGGCGCCCAAAGCGGACAATATCGTGCTACGGCAGAGCCGATCCGGGATGTGACAATTTGGTATCAGAGCCACTCTGTCGTGTGGTGCGAGTGTGCCGACGAGGACGTCGGGCCCCTAAGGGGGGTGGATTGTAAGATCCCACATCGACTAACGGAGAGGGGGTTGATGTGCTTTATATGTACATGCCCGCATCCATCTAGCACGAGGCATTTTGGGAGCTCACTGGCTTCAGAGTTGTAGGAACTCCGAAGTTAAGCGAGTTGGGGGCGAGAGCAATCCCAGGATGGGTGACCCACTGGGAAGTTGGTAGTGAGCTCCCAGAAACAAAACCGTGAGGGCCAGAGAGGGGGGGCCCAAAGCGGACAATATCGTGCTACGGCAGAGCCGATCCGGGATGTGATAAAAAAAATATTTTCCATGCTCCCTCGCAAATATTTTCATATTCCTATCTGGTTTCTGTGCTAAAGTTCATCTTGTATTTGGTTGGAATTTATTATGATAATTTTAATAAAGGGTTACTTATTTTAATTTATATTTATTTGGTTTGTTACATTATATTTCTCTTTTGTACTCAAATTTCAAGGTTGATAAATGAAGAAATATGTTGTTATAAGTAAATTGCAAAAATTGTTGTCATGTGTGGGGTTGGAAAAATTGTAGTGTTGGATATATTTAAATTTATATATGTTTTTTGATGTGCAATGAGCAACACAACATGATATTATTCATAACAACCTTAATTTTGCACAAACAACTAAAGTTCAAAATTTAAAATAACATCACTCATAAGACAATTGATGCCTATAACTAGAAGTAGTATCAGCACTATTGGTTTTTGTGATGTTGTAAGTCAGAAAATGCATTAGTGTAGTATAAAATTATGATGCTATAAAGCTTATTTAGTTTCAGAACTATTAAAACTACCGATGTCGTTGCATGTTTAGGCATCGGATGTCAACATTTTTTTGTCACACATAAGGAACTTTAGCATCACTGTTTATTATAGAACTGATATAGGTAATGTTATAGGCAAAGGTGAGTATTACTGAGGTAGGAAGGGTGATTTGGCATAGTGAATTATCATAAGCTCTTGTCAAGTTATTGACCCCCAAAAAAAAAAAAAAGAGCTCTTGTCAAGCTTTGTATGTAAGTTTTTGCCTACCCAAGTTTGGAATCCTGAATCCACCACTGTCTAAAGGTATCTTTTCCACAATGGGGGCTCTATATTTGGATTTTATGGTGTAATTTAATTTATGTGAATTATTCATTTATTTATTAACATTTCAACAACAAAATAATCAAATTTACACAAGATTCCGAAACGACAAAAACGCATTTTATTAAGACTTTGAAAGTAGAAACAAATTAAACAAACACAACATTAAATTTGAAAGTAAAAACAAGTGCAAATGACTTAAACAAAAACAACATTAAACTAAAAGAAAACAATGTTGATTTTTTCTGTAGGATGTTGATAGATTAACCAAACAAGAAACATGGCCCCATTATGGGATCAGTTAATGGTTGGACCAAAAACAAGAAACATAGCCCCATTAATGGAAAGGCTCTGGATCTACCTAGATGCCCGAGGGCCAAGACAAGCTGTCCGGCCGACATATATGAATTTCGCAACCTACTTACACAGTTATTTTGATGGCTTCTTGACCACCACACAACGTGCAGCGTAATTTTATGGCCCAAAACATGGTATTGTCGAGAGGTAGACCAGACACATTCAAGAGTGGTAGGTTGTCCGACATTGATGTTTTGCATTATAACATGAATTTTATTTATTATTATTAATATTATACCGTAAAAAACTTGTGGTTCATTCATATTATGACATGTACAAACAGGTGATATGATCACACTCAAATTTCTATGACATTTAGTGAATTAGAATAATATATATATATATATATATATATTCTAAATGTGTGTACTAGATTTTTTGTGGCCAGAATAAAAGCTATACGGGAAACAAACATCGTATATGTCTATTAGGACCAGAATATATGTGTATATACTGAAGGATTGGCATTTGCAGACTTCGGCAATCTAGCTAGCTATCTAGGTTAACTATATAAACGCAACAGGATAATGACCAAGTTAAGCAACCTTTTTCTTTTTCTTTTTTTAGGATTTTTTCCTACTAAGAGTGACAATAACATATTAAACTTCACACATACTACACAAATGCTAGGACTCGAACCCATAACCTCTCCTGGAAGGGAACATTTACTCCAAACTACTACACTACGTACACTAATGGATCCTTTTCACGTATCATACAGCCACCTAATGCAAATCAATCAACATCCAATTACAACTGGAATATAGGAAGTGATGATTTTGAAAGTTTTTCTTTCAAGATAACTTTACTTTGATCTTCCATCAATGGCATTGCATGGTAGATTATGTGATGGGCCGTAAACAATATATGCGTCATGCATATGTCTGAGACTGAGCTCATGCATGATATAAGCATATGCCTATGATCTAAAATGTACGTACGTGTAGATGACTTACATATTAATCGTTTCAATAAAGTCAATGGTTTCAATCTAAATTAGTTTTCTCTGAATACAACAAATCCATAAGAACAATTAATCTTATTTGTGTGAAGCTTTTACGTTCTGAATTCTACACTTCCAAAATGGTTCATCCATCATTTTGACCTCTACAACCACAAGTCGTGCTTTGTTTGTTTTGCCAAGACCCATGCGCAGACTTGGAATACCAAATTTGGAGTTATGCTCGCGGCGGCTGTAACAGCAAACAAAAATGCATGATCAATTAGCTCGTAATCTATTGAAAGTTTAAGCTTCTCTTCTAGGCATAGGTCAAACCCTGTTTTTATTTTTATTTTATTTTGTCAAAAACAAGTTTCATTGATATAGAAATCCAGAGCCAATACATCAAAGTGAACTCAAAAGAATGAGCTCAGAGAAATGCAACACAAAAGGAATAAAGCCGCTATAGCCATAAAACTTATTAGAGCATCCCCAATCATACTCTTTAAATGAGGCTCTAAAAATGATGGATAAAGCCTTATTTAGAGCTCCGATAAAATATTTTGGACTCTAAAGGTATATCTTTTCCACAATGGGTGGGGGGCTCTATATTTGGATTTTTACGGTGTAATTTGATTTATGTGAATTATTTATTTATTTATTAACATTTCAACAACACAATAATCAAATTCACATGAGATTCCGAAATTACAAAAACGCATGTTATTAAAAAAATTAGCATTTTAACATTTAATAGTGGTATTATACACATACGTACGTATTTTAATAATCTATGAAACTCCACTCTATGAAATTATATTATAAACACACTTAAAGGAAGCTTTAGATATATCAGCTGCCACGTATGAGAAGCTAACAAATAACTTCTACATTTCTAAGTGTTTTGAGTAAGTAGTATGAGTTTATTTCTTTGGTTGGTTAGTGTGAGTTGTTGTTATGGTTAATTAATATAGGTTCAGTCTTTTAAAAAAATTGGAATCTTTGCATGTTGACTCCACTAATTATGTTCCTCCCTTTAGAGTAAGTCCATCCCAAAAGGCTAAGGATAAGGCAAGGGCTGACATTATTCATGTGAATAGGGCAGACTTGCCTTTTTTGGTTCCACCCCAAAAAGTTAGGGCAAGGGCAAGAAAAAAAAAAAGATTATGCAACAAAATATAAACAATTTAGAAATGTAAGAAATAAAATCATTATGCAAGAAAAAAATTAATATGGAAGAAAATATAAAAAATTTACAAATGCAAGAAAAAAAAATGATTACAATTTATAAATATTGGAAGGAGAAGAGTTTGTATGAGGATTTGGTGTAGAAAGTGAATAAAATTGTTATGTATTTATAGGCAAAACATCCATAATTTTTTGGTATTTTTAAATAAATTAAATTAAATGTTTTTGGATTTTTTCCGCTCGCTAACGTCAGGATGACATCAGCGCTGACGTCAGCGCCTTCAGGCTTGAGCCCAAGCAGGAATTGCCCATGAGCTTGCCCAGGCTGGTGGGTCCCAGTGCTTGCCGGGGCTGGTTTTGTTGCACTGGAGGGGGATTTGGGCTCTCGGGGGGCCTGTTGCCATGGCAGGGCCCCTGCGCTGGATATGCTCTTAAGGCTTGTAAGTAAGGTAAATTTAGCCCATTCCAATTTGAAATCTTGAGAAAAGAAGTAAGCGAAAAATATGTATAACAATCTATGGAAGTCCACTCTTCAAAATTATTTTATATATAAGGTAGAATGGACTATTTTAAGTTAATCTTACTTCCTCTGGATTCAGAATGGACTATTTTTCCCAGTATTGGTTCCTTTTCTTTCTTCCTTTCCCCCTCCCTTGGCTTCCATAACCTGGTTTAGTTCACATTACGAATGCAAATGCTGATTTCACACTAGAGTCGTTGAGAGTGTTAGGGATGGCGTTAAAAACCTCAAGCCAGGGGATCATGTGCTTCCAGTTTTCACAGGGGAGTGTGGGGATTGCGTGCATCGCAAGTCTAAGGAAAGCAATATGTGTGACCTGCTGAGAATCAATACATGAGGAGTTATGATTGGTGATGGGAAACAAAGGTTTTCCAAGAATGGGACTCCTATTAATCACTTTCTTGGCACATCCACGTTCAGTGAATATACAGTCATCCATGAAGGCTGCCTTGCCAAGATCGATCCGTCAGCACCATTAGACAAAGTCTGCATCCTCAGTTGTGGTGTCTCAACAGGTTTAGTGTTACACTCTCAGAGCATAATGTTATTGCATATTTGATGATATGTGTAATGGTAAATGTTTTTCTCACCAAAAAATGGAAATAAAAATTCAGGATTAGGTGCTACTCTGAATGTGGCAAAACCAAAGAAGGGATCTTCAGTTGCTGTCTTTGCACTTGGGGCTGTTGGCCTGGCAGTAAGTTTGGGATAAATTTTGTTGACATGTCCTGAATTGTAGTTCTTTGCCATTTATTTCCCATGTGGCATTTATAATTATATATATGTTTCTTTAGGCTGCTGAAGGTGCAAGAATTTCTGGGGCATCAAGGATTATTGGGGTTGACTTGAATCCCAAGAGGCTTGAGGAAGGTACTTGTAATTTTGTACATTTTCATTAGTTTATCATGGTTTAACATTTACTTGGAAAATATAAGAAACAAATTCTTGATTGATACTTTTATTTCCCCTGGTTTTAAGCCAAGAACTTTGGAGTAAACGAGTTTGTGAGCCCAAGGGACGAGAAATTATAACTCCTAACAGCTTAATTCGGCAAAGCATAGAAATTGGTACTGAAAACTGAATTGACATTCATTTGAAGACACCAGATATATTTCTTCTATTAATCAAAATCCTTTGTTCCACCTTCTCTGTGTGTGACCACAAATGATACGAAAATGAGTGAATGAGCCCTACCAGTGAGGATGTTACTTATACTTCTCCACGATTCTCCTGGCTTCTTCTGGACTGTCCTCCATCCCCTCCTCCTTTGGTGTAGAGGTGGTGCCTCCGCCCTGCTTTGGTCCTTCATCCTTATTCAAAGCTATAAATGTAAAGTATACAAGTCCCATCGTAGCCTGTTATCATACAATGCTTAGTTCAATACAATTACATAATATTTATGCACTCAAAAAATAAGGTCTATCTATACGAGAATAATGCTCTCTTACTGTCAACAGGAAATTTACTTGTCTACATTGCATCTCCTTTCCTTATAGAAACTAGTAACGCAGAAAAAGACGTTGATTTTAAAACACAAACACACAAATGATAGCACAAGCATACTTGATATACATTTTGGAAAAAGCAAGTCAAAATAACATCATCGATCTACTGTTCTTGCAGGAGGAGAGAAATAGAAACATGCCAGCACAAAGAAAACTGTAGACAGTAAAGACTTGAGTACAAAGAGTGAAAGAGCCAATGCAACTACTGTCACAGAAACCCTTGCAATTGATCTTGGCACAGAATCCTAGCACCCAAACACAAAACGCAAACAGAATATCAAAAATCTTCAATTTGTACTAAAAGCAAGAAAAACAACCTGCATTGAAATTGCAAAATCGATAAAAGTTTGAAAGGGTAGACTAAACATAACTTACCGCCACAAGATTGGTTCCTGCCTCAATTCCATCTCTCCCAACCTTCCAAACTGTTTGTACAACTATTTTACACAATTCAAACCAGTAGTCAACACAAATGTAAACATAAAACTCAAGGGTAAACTATTTGCTCTCTTGTATGAGCAGGAAAGCAGCAAAAGTAATTCATGTGATGCAGAAAGGTAGAAACACTTGCTGCACATGGCAGCACGTCAGCTAGGTTTCACCCACCAAATGGTAAGTTCCCATGGATTATGGTATGGATGATTAGCCAGTTCTCTTAACTACCCGATTAACGGGTGATCACTCTTTAATGTAAGAAGATTCAAGCTGTTCTAAACGGTTCCATTCTCTAGTTATAAGGACCCGACCCGCCCAGGCCGCCTAACTCCCGCCTAGCCGCCTAGCGCCTTTACCCTTCATGCCTGATTGAAATCTTTACAATAGCTTTTTATTTTTTGACGCCAATCATTTACAATTTCATTCTACTAACCACTAATCACCGGAGTTCCAAAGCACTGAATTGAAATCCACAATCAATTTTAAAAATTGCTAGGCGGTAGGCGGGAGCCTAGGCGTTTCTTTTTTAAATTTATAATTATTTTGTATTAATCGCGGCCTGGTGGTGGTCGTCGCCGGTGGAGGCGTGGTGGTGGTCGTCTGTCGTGAGAAGAGAGAGAGAGAGAGAGGCAGCGTTAAAGTCAGGAAAAAAAATAATTGTAAAAGGGCCCGACCCGACCGCCCAGGCATCCTAACTCCCGCCTAGCCGCCTAGGCGGATTTTTCGAACACTCGACAATTTAACGTTAAAAATTGTCATAATCTAACAGAAATTAACATGCTTTCGACAGATATTCACCAATACAATGCTATTCAATTGCAAAAATACCTTTTATCAAAATCCAAAAACCAAAAATATAAAAACACGATTCATAAAATGGCAAATTCGACGAACCCACTAAACAACAATGTTCAGGGATCAAAAATACTAAACAGAAGAAGAAGAAGAAGAAGAAGAAGAAGAAGAAACCCAGGGAAGTGCAGCTAATTAACCTTGTAAGAAATTGGACTGTGCAGCGAACACAACAGGAACAGAGCGATACCTCCGAGTCCTCTGCCTCTTATTAATTTGAAGAGCTGAGACCAAAGACTGCTTCTTTGACCTTAAAAATTACTTACAAGAGAAGAATTGAGAGTGGGTGAAAGCTAGGGTTTGATTCTTGTAACATCTTGTAGAGTGTGGGGTTATGCAGCATAGGCTCTGGAACATAACTGAGCCAGCCAGCCATCAATATCTCTCTCCAATATGATTACTTTACGCACATTAATTGAGAGCTGGAACCGCCATTTTAGCTTTCACCCGGTGAGTCTCTCACTTTCTCTCTCAGCCTCACAAGCAGCTATCGCTAACCTAGTTCTGGCTGAATTTGTTATTGATTTTCAGAGCTTGGCCCATTGTTTGTTCTGTTGGAGAGAGAGAGAGAGAGAGGAGTTTTAGAGCGAGGGTGGGATAGAGGGATGGATTGTTGTCGGCTGTGGCCTTTTAGTTAGGAAGGGGGCTGTCATGAAGGAGAAGGGGGAAGGGGAGTCTGTGGAGAAATTTTTAAATGTTCCAGGTACACCACGTGTCTGGTGTACCATCCAATAAACATAGAACATGTGGAATTATTATCCAACCTACTGCATTTCTTCTTATGACATGTGGCGGACTGCATTGGACATATTCCATATGTCTTCCGTCTATTGGATGGTACACCAACCACGTGGTGTACCGGGAACACTCAAAAATTACTCGAGTCTGTGGGATAATTAGGTTGAATTTTTTTTTCTTTTTAATTATGTTAGTTTTAAAAAATGTAAGTGTTTAATTATAATAAATAGATTTGGCAAAAAAAAAAAAATGAATTGATGAAAATCACTTTAAAAAAAATATCAAAGACATGCACTGATGACAAGTGAAAACTGGGGCCCTTTTCCTTCAACTTTGTTAACGCCATTTGCCAGCCATGCACTGATGTGTGAGAGAGAGAGAGAGAGAGAGCACATCAATTCCTTAATCTTTAATAAAACTTTACGGAGGAAAAAGAAGTAGATTTAATTCTCTTCTTTTTCTAGTCCCTATACTGATACTCTTTGAGGTACACAAATAAAACTGGATGACGTATAAAATAAAATAAAAAACTGGATGCCTTTTGACTACTTTAAAACCCTACCCAAAATAACATATGCTAAACCCACAAATCATGTTTAAATTGAACCAAACATTCATTCAGAAACACTAGCATTTGGATATATGGTGCTTTACACAAAGAAATTAGGTCCACCACGTGTAAAAGAGCTCGAATTATACAGGGTTATTTTCATTAGCCATTGTCCAAGCCCATCTCTCACTCCGTTTCTAGGGTGTCTAGTAATTGTAGAAGGTTAATTTTACATGATTCTCACTACATAATTAATAGTCACTGACGTTTGTAGTCATGATGGGGTGCTTAAAAACTTTAGCAGCATCTAATAGTTAATAATAACTACAGTTATTCATACCCATTGTGTTATTAGCCACTTCATCTTGTGACACAAATGTCAAGACCAAACACGAACCCATGCCGTGCCCTTCTAACTAGGGCTATAGTCAAACCTCTCAAATGGATGTCAACTAAGTGCGCTTTTCCCTTAGGCCATCACATATTTCTTATATATATTTTACTTATAGGAATCTAGTATTAGTAGCTTCTCACCCACATCCATCATTGCAATTATGGAATCTATTTATGTGGTATCTGATATATATAAAATCATAAATTCTTCTTATTCCATTTGGTCTTAATTGTTGGAGAACAATCAGTATAAAACCAAATAACATAATAATAATCAAAACGAAGTATGCTTTATATAAATATAATCAAATCAATACAACAGTAGAATAAATTACAGAATACTGACTTGGATTGATGATAGAGTCCTGCAGAGTTGCAGTGTCCTTTAGACAATATTTAGAGGTCAGACACCTCTTCATCCAACAGTTACATTAACTATCTAACATATTTGAATTTCAGATAATAATTTTATCTAAAACGAATTTCTAATTAATAAATCCATGATGAGTGTAAGATCCCACATCGACCAATGGAGAGGGGGTTGATGTGCCTTATATGTACGTGCCCGCATCCATCTAGCACGAGGCCTTTTGGGAGCTCACTGGCTTCGGAGTCATGGGAACTCCGAAGTTAAGGGAGTTCGGGCCTAGAGCAATCCCAGGATGGGTGACCTACTAGGAAGTTGCTCGTGAGCTCCCAAAAACAAAACCGTGAGGGCAGACAGGAGGGCCCAAAGCGGATAATATCGTGCTACGGCGGAGCCGATTCCGGAATGTGACAATTTGGTATCAGAGCCACTCTGCCGTGTGGTGCGAGTGTGTCGACGAGGACGTCGGGCCCCTAAGGGGGGTGGATTGTAAGATCCCACATCGACCAACGGAGAGGGGGTTGATGTGCCTTATATGTACGTGCCCGCATCCATCTAGCACGAGGCCTTTTGGGAGCTCACTGGCTTCGGGGTCATGGGAACTCCGAAGTTGAGCGAGTTGGGGCCTAGAGCAATCCCAGGATGGGTGACCCCCTGGGAAGTTGCTCGTGAGCTCCCAAAAACAAAACCGTGAGGGCAGAGAGGGGGGCCCAAAGCGGACAATATCGTGCTACAGCGGAGCCGATTCCGGGATGTGACAATGAGGCCCAAATTTGCCTCCACTAGGCCTATACCCTATTTAGTATTTCTAAAGTGTTGGTGCTTATAAACCATGGAAGGAAACAACTCCCTTCCAGTGTGGGACTAAATGCAAGTGTATTTTTCCTATACAAACTCTAACATTAACCACTATCATCGGCTCCTTGACTCCACAGATGTTTCTTCCGTTGTTTATCCTCGGTGGAACTTATGGAGTTTGGGATGCCCTTAAAGTGCAAATAACACTTATTGCTTGGATTATGGTAGCGCTACTCCTACTAAGTGTAGTTTGGGTGGCTTGCTCACCACCATTTTCTGTTGGTTACTGGTTTCTCTTTGGTGATTGTCGGCTTGCTTTGGTGGTGCAACTTGTGGCTGTTAGATTGTGCGGCACATATCTGTTATTGGTGTTAGGGTTTCCTAATGTTATGT